AGACACTGGGGCCTTCAGTAATTCTCGGGGACACAATCATCGGACGAACGATAAAACACAAGTATCCGGCGCAGATCTCTGCGGTTAGACGGTTTTATTCTACCGGCAATGCTCAAAGGTACACACCGTTATCATGTAGATTGCCACCGTAAATGGGCTGGCTCTGGAGTGCCATTGTAAATTATTATTGCACAGTGGGTACTGGAAAATTTATGAATTGGATGAGATCATTCTTCCTAATTATTACAATGTATCAAAGTACCCGGGGGATATTAATTACACCAGTTATTATCAGTTCATTCGTCTGGCGCTCAGTCAATATTGAATATTAGTCATTATTATTTCACTGCCGGTGATCTCGGGGAGCGTCCGTCGGGTGTTCACGGAAGGAAAAAGACAAACGGAGGGAATTTTTATTCCTGTTATAACAAGCGCTTAAAATTGGGTCAATTAGGGTTTTGGGGTGTGGAGAGCGGCGACTGAGGTTTACAATCCATTAGTGAATCGATGAGAGGGTGGGGGAAATATTTCTTGCGTTGAGAACAATTCGGATTGGATTCATTCAGTCGGATTCCGTATGGGCCGCTATTTTTTTAACTTACACAGGGGTTCGAGGAATTTTATTCTCATGTGAACTGAATTTAAATGATTTAACAAATCCATCGGAGAGTCTGAGGGGTAGAGGAAGGTTTTTCTTGAATTGAGAATAATTAATGTTGAATATGTCCGCACGGAGAGAAAATCGAATTCTGATGTCGAAAAAAATTTTCTTGAATAATCGATGATACATGCCATCTATGGGTAAGCTCGAGATAAATAACTGAAAATACCTGGGAAAACCGTATTTTCTCATGTTTCAATTTTTTCACCGAAATCCGAAAAAACATTTTTGATTATTTATCTCTACCACTTTTCTTTACTGTGAAATATTTGAAAAATAAATACCCCATTTAAAATCCTTGTATACTAAATTGTAAATACCCGGCTGAAGGCCCTCGGGCGATGGCCAGTTGCAAATTCTCCAACTTGCAACAAATTTCGTTAAAAAAAAAAAAAAAAATATTACAACCCCGCAGGAAATAATTATCAAATTGACAGCAATCCGCATTGAATTCATTCACACAGATTCAAGGAATGTTTTCCGCATGTAAATAGAATGATTCCAATCCCGTGCAATTCGATTTAAAAACCTAGAGCCCCGAACAACAGCAGCAATTTTTTCGGTTCGAATTGAGCTCGCCCGTTCATCCAAATAACAAAAAAAATCCCCCGGAAGTAAAAAAGCCCGGAAAATAAAGTGTTTCCTTCTGTTTTGATAACGAGAGTGAAGAAAATTCAATTGTCAAATCAGAATCAGAAGGCCCACTAGTGCCGGCAAACGGCAGCTGGAACAGCCCCGGAAAAAAGAGGAGAGAAAAAATCCCAGGCAAAGGAGACAAAAAATATTCGCCACAATTTTCGGATGCGTATGAATGTGCATTCCCATTGAGTCGCTATTTCGAAATGGCCGAGTGGGTACCCCGAATCCTCGGACCTCGGGAGCTCTAACAAAGCAATTTGCCCGAACAAATGCAGCCCCCAGTTTCATGTGGAGACCTGTCCTACCGTTCTGCGGTCTCTCCCACACGGCGCCAACGCCTGCTATCCTTTCTCCATGTGCATGTACAACAGCATCCCTCCCGGTGGGTTCTCTCCACTCGGTGGATCCCAGTAACAGGTTTAGACAATGCGCGAAAGCGTCGCGTATAGCTCACCCAGTGTATAGCTGTCCCGACAGCCTCCACCCTATTCCGGAATTCTTCTTTTTGTCCTTCCTGCCCTGTGTGCAGGCGACATTCGACATTTGTGTACGATACGCTCTCAAGGGATCTAATCAATTTGAGAGGGATTAAAGGTGGCAGATGAATTCAGTAGTGAAGTGGTAAAACGGCCCAAGTCGACTTACCTCCCAGCAGTTGAGTTTTTGAGGAATATTCCCGCATCTAAGGGAGATAGCGGAATTTTCGTAATTACATTTATTGTAGATCTCAATTGGCTCTACAAAAAAGGTTATTACAAGAATTTTGCTATCTCCCTTGGATTCCGAGATATTCATTGAAAACTGGTCAATAGTCAAAATTGACTTGTACTGTTTTATCAGTTCGTAACTGAAATAATTTCGTTAAAATTTATTTTTCTCCTTCTGCGGATATCCTGTTGTGCTTTTTTTACACAAAGCAAATATCGTTATTTTTTTAAGTACATTAAAAAGGTTAAAGTTTTAAAGATTAATTGCAGAATTAATTGCATTTCAAACAGAACAGAATGTTATTGTGAAATTAAATTCTGAAATATCAGATAAACTGGAGAGTCACTACTGGGCCATAAGTTTAGTCAATTTAAAGAAGACAGCGCACTCGCACTTCTCTTCAGCATTATTTTGGATTAATCTCGCCTTCACTCTTAGAATTCTTCAAAATTCACATAACAGCTGAAAACAAAATTGAATTTTCTGAGTTGAATGTTCACTAATATTTAAATCCATTAGAAATTCACAAAAATAGTCTCTGAAATCGCCCCAATTTCCAATTATTTTCGTTGCATACTCTAGAAATTAATTAATTTTTAAACAAATGACCTTAAAAAATTTCAAGATTTTTCATTTGAAATTTCAGGATCAACTCCCTAACAGTGGATGACGACCAGGAATTACGGAATTAAAGCATACATTTTATGAACATGTCTATATATTTTTTTTCATCCAATCCTCCTCGTTTCGTCCTCTCCATCTACGCGCAGCCCTATTTCCTTTTCGTATTTAACGAATGATCCTCTCCCTCGTCAGAAAAAAAGTTCTGTAGCCGAAGAAAGACAAGTATCCACATTTCCCCGGGATGACTTGGAAAACTTGGGTCGTATTCTGACCCATAAAAGCAACGAAATGAGCAACTTTTACTCGCCCCAAAGTGCGGGCCAACCACACACAGGGCAGAGCCAGAAAATTTTAACATGCGGCACACGAAACCAGGGACGAAATATCTTCCAAGGAAATTAAAATTTTTGATGCTCCACCGAAACTGAAAGCACGCAACGGGAGAAATGAACGTTGCCGGCACCGAGTCCCGACATACAATCAGTTTTACTTGGTTTATCCGCTTATTTATTCCATTAACGCCGCTCGGCTTTTTCGTTTGGCGCATACCGCTGGGTATATATGTAGACACCTGGCACTACAAATCGCCGACCGACTGAATTTATAAACCAATGGTTATGAATAAATAAAATAGTGGGTGACTGCTGTGGTTTTCCTTCGCAGACGATTCATCATCCAAACTGCTTTTTCGGGGATTTTTTTCGCGATTTTTCTTCTCCATTATTTTATTCTTTGGTATGGAAATTGCGATCACAAGAAAGGAGAATTAATTCAACTTTTTATGCGTGTAGAATTGTTTCTGGTGGCCTTCAGCGTTGAGAAAAAAAATTCAATCAACATTCAACAGTGGAATTATTCTCCGAGTCGAGTTGCTTCTGTATTTAGTGGCCTCTCCAATGCCAATGAAACCCTCAGAGGCGCCAGAAATGTCGAGATGATAAATTGTTTTTTCATCCGGGGCCAAAGTGTCAGATCTTGGATTTTTTCAGGGGGAAAGGTGACTTTCGCCAAAATCGAATTTTTTAGCCGGGTGAAGGTTGATTCCCACTATTTAAGCGACGGGCTATTCAGAAATCTCAAAAATATGTGGAAAAAGTGAAAACTGAGAAACCGTTTTTTTTGGCCCCAGCCAAAGGGTCAGATTTTCGGGTTTTCCGGGGCAAGTGGATTTTCGCCAAAATCGAATTTTTTAGCCGGGTGAACGTTGATTCCAACTATTTAAGCGACGGGCTATTCAGAACTATCAAAAGTATGTGGAAAAAGTGAAAAATGAAAAAAAAATTTTTTCACCGGAGGCCAAAGTGTCGGATCTTGGATTTTTCCGGGGGGAAAGTCGGTCCAAGGGTCACAAGGGTCAAAGTGTCAGATCTTGGATTTTTCGCCAAAATCGAATTTTTTAGCCGGGTGAACGTTGATTCCAACTATTTAAGCGCCGGGCTAGTCAGAACTGTCAAAAGTATGTGGAAAAAGTGAAAACTGAGAAACCGTTTTTTTTGGCCCCAGCCAAAGGGTCAGATTTTCGGGTTTTCCGGGGAAAGTGGATTTTCGCCAAAATCGAATTTTTTAGCCGGGTGAAGGTTGATTCCCACTATTTAAGCGACGGGCTATTCAGAAATCTCAAAAATATGTGGAAAAAGTGAAAACTGAAAAATTTTTTTTTTCACCGGGGGCTAGTGTCAGATCTTGGATTTTTTCAGGGAGAAAGTCGACTTTCGCCAAAATCGAATTTTTTAGCCGGGTGAAGGTTGATTCCCACTATTTAAGCGACGGGCTATTCAGAACTCTCAAAAGTATATCGAAAAAGTGAAAACTGAAAAAAAAATTTTTTCACCCGGGGCCAAAGTGTCAGATCTCGGATTTTTCCCGGGGAAAAGTCGACTTTCGCCAAAATCAAATTTCTTCGCCAAGTGAATGTTGATTCCGTATTTATTGGCCCCTCTAACACCAACGAAACCCTCGGAGGCGCCCGAAATGTCGAAATAAACTTCTAATGTAAATGCTTTCAGCATGTGAAATAAAAAATTATTCCACATACTAAAAACATTTCTATCCGAACAATCCCATGAATTTATTAATTTTCACCAAAACTATTGTTGAAATGCACAGAAAAACGTCAGAGCGAGAGTGAGAGAGAAAGCGGCCGATAGCTATCCCGCAAACCAAACCGTTCGATTTCACTTTCCCGAGAGGTAGAAAAAGACACGGCGTCAGGACTGAGATAACCCAGCCTCCGAGGCCCGAAGAGAGAGGGAAAATACATAAGATCAGACCCGTGTATTTGTCGTACTGCGTAAGCTTGAAGAATCGGTGAATGTCTTCTTGTTACACTCAATTCACAGTCGTCAGTACCTTCGCGGCAGCCCAGGGCGTCTGCATATCCGTGTTCTATCCATTCCACACGCCATACCGACGGAATTGCCCCGCCAGCGGGAGCAGGAAAATCTCGAAATCTCGAAATAATAATTTACTTGAACGAATCCCCGAGTTAAACCGTCCTCCGCATGATTATGAGACTGAGAGTACGATAGATGCTCGGTTCATTGGCAGAGCAGCAGCTTATGTGTGCTCTCGTGCAGTTAATCGTGAGGAAGTAATTTGTTTGACCTGGAGGACGTGGCGAGTCTGATTGGCCGTGGGACAATTCAATCGATCTTCCCGCCAGCTCCTCCGTCCTATGGACTCATCGAGCGGAATGCAACGTCGATGAAAAAAAAATTACGCAATTTTCAATTGAGTTTACACACGCAAAAATAGCCCCGAAAAAGAGAGGGAAATCGGAGCATCCGGTTGCGTCCAGTATTACGTGTTAACGGAAAATCAAACATCCAATCCGTGGGACCAGCCTCCAAAAACAACGGAGATTAGAGTGCGTGAAAATCCTTCAATCTCTCGTTTATTTTTTAATCAATCCAAACAACAATTAAAATAAAAATTCAACTGTCGAGTTATTGCTGTGTTCACCTGTAATTGTGGTGGTGTGCAATGACAGAGGATTGAGTAAAGCCAGTGGAGAATGAGAATTAACTTTTCTGAATTGAAGTTGAAGAATTAATCCGGCACATGTGAACGGAGCGAAACAAAATTGTGGGACTAGAACTTTTCGGGAGAACTTGAGGAATAGAGTGAAGTGGAGAGTGAAGGAGTGAGGAACCGCAGACCGTTGGGACTCGACCTTTAGCGAACTTTGGAATAGGGTGAGTGTACACCGGCTAAACTTATATCGGACGACAGCTTCCAGTGGGAGATGGGGTGTTGCGGGTGTTGAATTCAAGAAACGTGTCCCCCGGGACGACAATGTCCCGGGTATTTCATTTTTCCCTCGGTTTTCTTCATCTCTGTTTGTTCTGCTTCATCCACACATACGTGGGATTTCACGTGTAGCCAATACGAAAAGTCAAACAAGAAGGATATTTGTTTCTCTCATGAAAGTTGCAGGGAGCAGACGCAGTTGTTTCTGGGGTGTACTGTAACTTGTAGAAATTATGTTTTGTTTCTCGTGCGGAATTGTTATCGGAAATTTGCAGGGTTGTAATTTCGGGGATTTCTAGGGCTGCGATATTCGGCTGTTGGTTGGGATATCACGGAAACTATTGAGAATTTTTAATTGAATGGAAGAAATTATTTTATCGATTTATAATTAAAAATGGAAGAAGTTATTTCATTAATTTATAATTAAGAATGGAGGAATGGATGGAATTAGAAATGGAAGAAGTTATTTCATTGATTTATAATTAAAAATGGAGGAATGGATACAATTAAAAATGAAAGAAATTATTTTATCGATTTGTAATTGGGATAATCATCTTCTGTATTGTCCCGAGGGCTATTTCACTCGGTCACACGGTTAAAAATTTGTGTCCGACATTTCCGGTACATTTTTCGAAAATTTCTATCGAAGTTAATTACCACACAGAAATTTCAAAGAATTTCGTCATTAAAAATTCAGAATTCCGTGGAAAATCCAAAGAGAACTGTGAATTTCAGTCCCATTTTTTCCTGAAAATGAATAGAAAACCAGAAAATCCCGGTAAATATATTCTTGATTTTTTAGGATAATGATACAGAATGCGATTTAAGGGAAAAAAATCATGAAATTTCAGATTTCACTGAAAATTCAAATAAATTAAGGATTTCTCGTCTTTATGCTGCTTAAAATTCTGGAATTTTACTGAATTTCCACTTAAATATCAATAATTATCAATTCAATTATTAATGAATACAATTATTTTATAGTTTTATCAGTACGACTCATAACTCTTGAGTTATGCGTATTTAGCTGTGAAGCCATACGCGGCGCGGGTTGTCTCGAAAGCTGAAGGCCGTCAGCTACTCAAACGAATATTGATATCTCAAAAAGTATGAATAGCACAGACATAAGTCAAAAACCACTTTATTCGTTTTAAAATTCTCTACATTTTTTATGCGTCATCTGTCAACGATTTCTTGATATTCTTCGAGATTTTTCCATCGACATAAACTGGTGACATTATGAATTATGACAAATAATTAATTTCATCATTAGGTCCATTTAAATTGGACTGATTTTGAATGCAATGATTGTTCGGGCAGCGAATGGAGTGTTATTCAGTGATAGGCATATCCATCAATCATAATTACCGATAAATTCTGAAGTTGTCAATTTTTACCATAAATCTTAAAATTTTAAACATTAAATTAGCCAATAATTTAGATACGAAGATTGACGCTTATTTTGATAATCGAAAATCAAGTACGTAAATTTAGAATTAGCTTGTGAACTAAAAAATAACATTTCAATATTATCAAATATTTTATTCACCGTCAATCAAAAAATTTTGTTACTAAATTTTTTAATATTTTAAATTTGTTAAATGTAGTTAAACTTTGAACAATATAAGCAGATAATCCCTCTTACTACACTGAGGAAAATTTCAATGTTAATTTTAGCTACAAGGGAATTGTCAAAAAAATTATATTTACAGTAACAATAAACTCTGTAGATTAAACTAGGATTCATCGTTCGATTTTTACTTTACTGTAATAGTTGAGTCTACACTGTTTATTGTTACCGTAACGATTATTTTTTTAAAATTCCCTTGTAGTTGAAATTACCATTGAAATTTCTCTCAGTGTATTGTCAAAATCTAATTTTATTGGCCACCCCTGGTTTTATTCAATGCAAAAGGATAATTTCGCCGGTTTTACGTAGAACCGTTACCACCAGTCGGAAAATGCAGAATAAGGTGTCTTCAACGTCAAACAAATCATCGCCGAGTGTGACAACTCTCGAGATATCTCGATACAAATCAACTTCACGACGCGCATGAACTTTTTAAAACAGGGAAATAGGTCGAGATATTCCCCACATTGGATACCGAGAGTTTGCATTTGAGGATGGATACGTGATACCGAAGGCTCCCATCACGGTAACAAGGGGCTTGGAACTTATCTTCGAAATTACGTGTGTGGTAGATCCTCAACTCCTACTCACTCTGTTCACCGACGGAGGCAAATCCACAATTGAGTTTGCCGAACGTTTGCCTGGTAATTTGGTGTGGGCAAGCGCATAATCCAGTTAGTTCTACAAGCGTGAGGAATGCCTATACGGTGGCTTATCGGTTTCTTCAGACGTACCTTGGATTAACCGGATTCATTCCGCGGGGACTGCCGTTTTTTTTCATCTGAAATTCTTGATCCCGAGTGAGCTATCACACAGAGAGAAGTTTTCTTGTAAAAATTCTAGTGGTGTTGACGTTTAATTTCTAGGGATTTCTGATGAAGTTTTGAAGGATTTCTGCGATTATTTCGCTCTTCAAACCAATAGAACTGCGATATTCGATGCCCCGTGGTCCAATCAAAGGAGAATTGCACGGAGAGAAATATTCAATAAAAATTACGTATCTTTTCCGTAATTCCGGAGCGAAATGTGGTTGTAGGGAATTTTACGGAAGTGTCACGGAATTTTTCCGGAGCGTTCCGTAATTTTTATCTGAACATTTCTCTCCGTGTGCATCGGTTTATAAATATATAAATTTTATTCACGAGCAGGCGCGTTTGAAATGCAATTATTGAATGATTTTTTTCAGAAAAAAAATTAGGGTAACGGAGTTTTGCTGGACTGTCTCATACGTAATTTTTTTAAGCGCTGTTTACACTCTACATAAAGTCCAACAGAATAGTTTAAATTCTTAAAATTTGCCGGTGAATTTTATTAAGCGGCCCTTGCGATCCTCTCTCCTCCCGAAATTCCAGGCCCCAATCAAATCATCGCAATTAGAGAATTAAATCCCGAACGGGTTTAATTTATTCCGCATTTCGATACACTCCAGCGTCTTATGTAGATCGCAGACAGAGTCCTTGATAGGAATTCTCGTTAGCTCTCCGAGAAAGGAGAAAGGGAATCCGATTATTTTGCCATCGCGGCCAAGTTGGTGCTCTATACTCGACTTAATGAGCTCTCCGAGTCCACGAGATACACGATCTTATTACCTCGTTTTTCACTCCAACATCTCCTCTATTTTCGCTTTCACATGGGCTGCGCGCACTCCTGAACCCTGAGATCCGCGGAATTCGTGAAAAAGCCACACGTGCGTGTTTCAATTCCCTCTCGCGGTGTAGGGTGAGCTACCCAGTAGGTGGACACTGCCCTATAGACGGACGAGCTACTTTTGGATAGGAAATTACACGGAGAGAAATGTTCAGTAAAAATTACGGAACTCACAATTCACTCACCGATTACGGAATCGACTCAGAAAATTTAAGTGACGGTATCGTAATTTTTCACAGGAGATTCAGATAAAAATTACGGAACGCTCCGGAAAAAGTCCGCGACAGTTCCGTAAATTGCCTACAACCACATTTCACTCCGGAATTATGGAAAAGATACGTCATTTTTACTGAATATTTCTCTCCGTGTACGCAAAAAAATTCTGAAATGTGAATTATTGCTTTGAATTTTCACTAACCGTTGTGATTCTTAACCCCTGAGTGATGATTTTTTTTCGATCAATTTTTCAATTTTTCAATTGCTAAAAAACAAACGTCCATCCACTGGGCGGTTTTCTTAGGCGTCCATCTACTGGGCAGTTTACCCTAATCGGCAGGTGGAGCGTGCAGTATCGATCGGCCGAACCATCGAGTCGTCAAGTTGGCCTGCCACCAGGGCAGCACGGAGAGAAATGTTCAGTAAAAATTACGGAACTCCCAATTCACTCACCGATTACGGAATCGACTCAGAAAATTTAAGTGACGGTATCGTAATTTTTCACAGGAGATTCAGATAAAAATTACGGAACGCTCCGGAAAAAGTCCGCGACAGTTCCGTAAATTGCCTACAACCACATTTCACTCCGGAATTATGGAAAAGATACGTCATTTTTACTGAATATTTCTCTCCGTGTACGCAAAAAAATTCTGAAATGTGAATTATTGCTTTGAATTTTCACTAACCGTTGTGATTCTTAACCCCTGAGTGACGATTTTTTTTCGATCAATTTTTCAATTTTTCAATTGCTAAAAAACAAACGTCCATCCACTGGGCGGTTTTCTTAGGCGTCCATCTACTGGGCAGTTTACCCTAATCGGCAGGTGGAGCATGCAGTATCGATCGGCCGAACCATCGAGTCGTCAAGTTGGCCTGCCACCAGGGGAGCATATCGTCTAGCAGGTGGCGCAGGTGGCTCAACCTGCCGCACATAACCAATACCATTTAAACCCCTTTGCCCTGATTTTTCCCGCTCTTTCATTTCGAAAATACTGAAACTTGAGTTGTTAGCTACCTGCAATTGCCAATCCCATCCCGGGAAATATAAATCTTGGCTTCAGGTGATCGAACAGGTGCACACGATCAGGGTATCAGGTTACGGTGGGGATCGCCTGTGGTTGGCCGTGCAGGTGAGAACAACTATTCGAGAATATTATTGTGTTTTCGAGCATTTTTGGCGGTTTTTCTTCTGCCCCGGGGGAATTGATTTATTGCGGGTAGAGAAATTATGCAATTCTGGTCGAAGGAGAGTTTTTTTAAATAATAATACTTATAAAAGATATTATTATTAAAGTGATTAACTAATTAAAAGTATTATTAATTATATTAATAATGAATTCGAATTTTTCGGATTTATTTTAATAATATTTTTTGTGAGAATTGATAAATTTGGATGGTTTTTTTATAAAAATGTTTTAATTATGGGAAATTATTGTTTGGTTTATGTGAATG